ATGCCGAGACACACGCGCAGAAGCCAGGAAATTTGGAAATTTTTCTAGAAAAGGGAGGAAATAACCTGCTACGTGCAGTTCACGTTCACTGCGACCATCACCTGGGTGGTTTCCTAAAAGCAGCCTCCAGCCTGCGCGCGGAGATCGGCGAAAATCGGACACGTCGTGTAAGAAATCCGGGTAACAGCCTGAACCACCTTGGAGGAGGGGATTGAAAGAAAATTCCTGAACTCAAATCCGCGAGACAACTTTCGAGGCAGAACTGAATTGATGAACTTTGTCAGGACCTCAAAGAGAAAAACCTTGATGTGGAATGTTTCAGCGGAACGACGTGTCAAATCAAACCCCGACATGTCTGAGATGCCCCATTGAATACTTACAGGCTTTTTCATCTTGGGGTTTGTTTTTTTTTTTTTCCCCCTCAATCTGAAAATGGATTTTTTTTGCTCTCTACCGTGCTTACACGCACACACAAAAACCCGACTGGGTGCCTCAGGGAACTGTCGAAATCAACTCCGCGGCGTGCTGCTAAATACCTGAGCGCCGCGCAGCAAAGGGCACGGCAAGGTGAGCGTTCCCAGCGGCTGCTCACACGAGACAAGAAGATTTCACAGCCACGAGTCGCTCCGTGGGCTCTATCCCTACATTCTCCTCCGGCGTTGGTACACCCCAACCATTTTTAACCAATTTTAAGAGGTTGGTTTCTCTCTGCTCCAAAACACAGCCCCTTCCAGCAGCGCTGGGACACCAAACACCGCGTTTCCCAAGGAGAAAAATCCCCCCAAAAAAAGAGGCAGCTTGCTTCCAATCCTCTCCAGATCTCACAGCCAAGCTGTGTGAAAGCCCAAATGTCGAAACAAATCCCGGCAGCGACCAAACCATGAATATCTGCAGTCCCTACTCACCCCTAGCCTGGCCGGTGGCCCCTGTAATCGGTTTCCTTCCCTGTGCCTCAGTTTCCCTCCTCGGTTAAGCCTGGCTCAGCACCTTTAGGAAGCTCTAAAGATTGAAAGCACGAAAGGGTCACTAACCATGAATAGGACCTCCGTCCCTTCTTCCCGGTGTGATCCTCCCACTGCATTCAACCAATAAAAGCCTCCTAAAAGGAAACAAGAGGGAAAATAATTACGTCCGGGACGACAGCGACCTGAAATCCCGGCTTCTCTATCGCTCGCCCTGTGCGGCCAAAACGCCTCGTGTCCTCTGCTGCTCTCTGCGACCAGTCTGGAGACCTCCTGCCTCATCCCAGACCCCGAAAACAAGCCGCGGGCAGGACTCCTGGGTCGCCCTCTCACCTCCCAGGTGTTTCATTTCACCAGACACCCAGACATTGTGGTTTTTTTTTTTTTATTTATTTTTTCCTTGGAATTAAAGAAATTCAGGCTGAAAGGAACTGCTGTCACCCAGCCCATCCCAGCTCCGCTCACGCCGTTCTCCAAGGCTGCGGAAAGAAGAGATGCCGCCCTGAGCCATTTCCAAAGATTTTTTTAATCTTCCTTTCCTTTTCCTCCCTTTAGACCAACACGACAGAAAAGGGAAATCACTATTTTTACAATGATTTAAACCAACCTGGTGCAGACAGGCGGCAAAGCACCTGAACTGGAAAAGGAAGGTGCTAACCGGACTGGAAATGGTATTTGTCTGCTGTCTGCCTTGATCGTGAGCCGCATTCCTGGGCTGGATGAGTGACACCTCCGCTGACACGCTCACCCTCACACCAGAGGACTCGGGATCACATTCCCGAGTCGCAGCGAAGCCGAGACGAGAAACAGAACCGACGGCCGACCCGGGGTCAACATCGGAGCGAGAGAGGAGCTGGTGACGGCTTCAAAAATCCCTTTGCCACCTGATTTGTATCAAACCTCAAGGCCCTACGTGACCAGGGTTCTTAGAATATCTGGGGGTTTTCAGCCCTATCCGGAGAGTAGCTCGTTTTTATCACGCTCCATCCAGGGTCAGCTTCCAAATATGGGAGAAAAGCTCTGGATTCGACATGTGAGCACTTCTACAAGAGCTCAGAGAGCAGGCAGCCAGCTCCACTCCCTCCTGGAGCATGGCTCAAGATGGGAAAATCAAGATCCCGGAGGTCTGAACCCTCCTGGAGCGTTGCTCAGGATGGGAAAACCCAAGATCTCGGAGGTTTGAACCCTCCTGAACCGTGGCTCAGGACAGGAAAACCAAGATCCCAGAGGTTTGAAGCCAGGAAGAACAATTTTTCCGGTTTGGAGGCACGGCATGGTGGGGAACTCAGGCTAGAAGAGCGCTGGGCAAACCTTTATCCATGGCCTGATGCACAAGACACCCCCACACCCTCCGTACACCATCGCGCTCTCCAGAATCAACTTCTTGAAAAATAAAAGGGCCAAGAACCGAGCTGAGCTTTGCCACGGGCAGGAAAACCTCCCACCTGGAGGAAGGGGCCAGGAGACGTCCTGCAGCCGCTTGAAGAAATGGGAAGGATCCCTGTCCCTCAGGGTCTGAGAAAATGTTTTTGTCCTAAAAATGATGCCCGGGAAAGCTCCAAGACTGGTAAAGCCTGATGTTGAGAATCTGAAACCCGTCTATACCCAGAAGGTGATGCCAGCCTCGCTGCCAGATCTCCTGGGAAGGGCCGAAGGCCATCGGCACAGAACTCACAGACCGGCTCTGTCACCGCGTCAGCGGCACGCGGTCAAACACGAAGCAGGAAAGCCAGGATGTTCCTCGGAATCCTCCCGTCGGGACCCTGGCCACGCCTCACCCATCAGGAACGCGGCATTTCTGGAGTGACGGTTTTGAGGGGTATAAACGAGGGGTACTCGTAGCCGTGAGGACATCCAAGCTGAGATCCACGCCCACAAACGCTCCTCCGGTCAGCGCAAGCGGCAAGGAGGGAAGGGAACCCAGGAGGGAACCCAAGAGGGAACCCTTCCCATTCTGCTAGAATAATTTTTCCATAGGAATCTCTGAGGAGGACTTTTTCCCTGACCTGTACTGCAGCCGTTCCAAATAAACCGTTTCAACCCAGCATCTGAATTAATTACTTGAGTGTTTTGCTGTGTTGTATAACACACATATTTAGGGAGTTTTTTTTTTAAAACATATCTATGCGTAGTTAAAGCAAACCACTTCTTCAAAGACGCGCAAGTCTGTCCGTTAAAGGACAGAGGACCAAGTCCTGCTCCAACTGAAGCCATTAGAAGAGGTGGTGGTAAGCTGGAGCCTCCCACAAACATCAGTTCTTTCCTCATTCATTAGGAAAAAAGTCAGAATCCAGAGCCATGCTAAGATTTCTCATCACAGAGATGTCACCGCTTTTTTTTTTCGGTTATTAACACCAGCAGTAAAAGTTGATCTGAAAAGCTCCGTCAGACCCAGAAAGGGCTGGTCCCCGCGGAGGGGTCGGCGTTTCCAGAGCGAGCTAAGAAGCCGTCGGGTTTTGAAACGGGCACAACTCAAAGAAGGGTTACTCACAACAGTATCCTGCAGGCTTCGCTGTTTATTCCACCCATGGAGTCGTAATAGGTGATGGTTTTTTTCCTGAAGTCTACAACCTACACAAAGAAAGATTCAATTAACCCACAGCACTCAAGGAGCTCATCTCTTTGCCAGGACACACGCTCTGCCGATAACTTGAGACCATTTCAGAGCAGAGAAGGATTTCAGAGGACTTCCAACACCCCTCCCCAAAATCCCCCCTTCTCCCGTGTTACTGACCCGCTGGAATCTCTACATCAGGCTCTCCTCAGAGCACCCCGGTAAGAAACAAGAGCGCTCTGTTATTTTATTGTTCGAGCCGCAGACGGATAGATTTACTCCGCCCGACACCAGCAGACCGAGCGCTTCGAGGTGCGAGTCCCCCGGGTGTTTTCTTGGGCACCCACGTCCCATTTTCACACCGCTGCCCACCTGCGTGGGAGCTGCCTCAAAGACCCTCTGCCCAGGAGGTTTAAAAGCCACGCGTGATCCGTTACCGCACAGGCACCAAGAGAAGGGATGGAATAAATCAGGGGCAGGAGGGAGGGAAAGCCGGGCAGTATCTGCCCTCGCGATCTCTCCAAAACGATCCCGTGGCAGCCTCTCTAAAGGCCAGTTTGTGGGAATGTGGAAATGAGATCGCTCTCCGGAGAATTAGCCAGCCTGACGTGACCTTCAGATCTATTTTTTTTTTTTTTAAAGACTAAAAACACCCTAAAAAGTCATGGCCTGACGTGACCTTCAGATCTATTTTTTTTTTTTTTAAGACTAAAAACACCCTAAAAAGTCGCAGTTATCTTTTTACTCACTCTAGATTTTGATTCGAGCCACAAACGCTCATTTGTCCCCTACCGTGAACAAAACACCCAACAACGGCATCGCTCCAGAGCTGTGAAATTTCACCCTCGCTCACAGGTAAATTTTTCAGACTCTATAAACCTTCAGATCTATTTTTTTTTTTTTTAAGACTAAAAACACCCTAAAAAGTCGCAGTTATCTTTTTACTCACTCTAGATTTTGATTCGAGCCACAAACGCTCATTTGTCCCCTACCGTGAACAAAACACCCAACAACGGCATCGCTCCAGAGCTGTGAAATTTCACCCTCGCTCACAGGTAAATTTTTCAGACTCTATAAATGACGCGATGAGCTACTGGGAATAACAAAAACACTCACAGCCAGGCACCAGTGCACTCCCAGATGAATAGGCACCAAGAGGAGATCCACCGAGAAAATATCCACTTTCTTCGTCCACCGTTTCACAGCTTGGTACCCCGCCGTCTTCAATTTGGTAAAGAAGAAAGTGTTGAAGGCGTGAACTGCCGGCAAACCTTTCTCTTTGCTCCGTTCCATCAACAAATTCATGTAGAAATTAATTATCTGGAGGAAAAAAAAAAGCATCCAGGACATGTTAAGAGTGTTGATACGGTGCAAAATTTGGTAAGAAACGGTTTCTGCCTCCACCTGTCCCTCTGAAAGGAGGGATTTCCAACAGCTCAGCCTGAAAACCACCAAAAATCCAGAAAGATTTAGGAATGCAGCCTTCTAGATTTCAGATTTTTTTTTTTCCCCTGATCATGGCCATGGTCAGTCCCACTCCCCCCAGTATCATTATTTCTTCCAGTGCTGGTCAAGCCAGAGGTTTCCCCCCAGATGAACTGCTCCAGGGTGTGAAGCCCAGCCCACACCTACTCTTCACTCTGATTTCTTTCAACAAAAAGTTTTTTCACTTCAACCTACTTCAAAATGCCAAAGAAAAACCGCTTCGAGGGCCCAAGACAGACCCCTCACCTCATCGTTGAGCCAGTTCAGGTTATTGAGGGTCTGAATGTCTTTCCGAGTGATCGTTAACCGAAAAGCTTCGCTGAGGACCTCGTCCTGGTTCCCACCTCGGAACACGTTCTTTATTTCTTTTTCCATTTCCTACAGGGTGGACACAGAGATCATTGGAATTGAGAATTTCTGCTGTTACTGTCACAAAAGCTGGATTCAAACCCAGGTTTATTCTTTGCTCCTCAAAGGATAAACTTGCTACAGGGCAAAAGTGAGCACCTATCTGTCTCCACGCATAGATTTTAGGAAATCACGTTCAAATTGTGATTTTTTTATGCACACAAGCGTCTGTTTGCGTCCGCCAGATCCGAGCAGCCTCACCTCAGTGATTTCAGGGAACTCCTCTTCGCCGTCGGCAGACTTTGCATCTTCCTTCTCTTCTGGGACCACGGTGACGGGGATTTCCTTCTCCAGGGGCACTCGAAGATTTAAATCCACCAGATCCTGCACCGAGTGTTCCTGCTCCTGCAAGCGCTGAAGGAGAAAACCGGCGATTAGGTGCTGCCCAAAGGGTGTCCCGTTGTTGGGGCTCAAAACGGGAGCTCCATGGGGCAAATCAGAATCATTGAATCCCGGAATCATGAAGGTTGGACAAGACCTCCAGGATCATCCAGTCCAACCATCAACCCAACCCCACCCAACCCACTGACCCCCGTCCCGCAGCCCCACATGCCCCCAGTTCCTGACCCCCTCCAGGGATGGGGACTCCCCCGCTTCCCTGGGCAGCCTCTTCCCATGGGGGAAAAAATTTTTTCTCCTCTCCAGCCTCAACCCCCCCTGGCGCAACTCCCCAGCTCCGTCACCCTTCTCTGGACCCGCTCCAGCCCCTCAACGTCCTTCTTGTGGGGAGGGGCCCAAACCCGACCCCGGGATTCGAGCTGCGGCCTCCCCAGGGGCACAATCCTGCCCTGCTCCTGCTGGCCACGCTGGGGCTGGTCCTGGCCAGGGTGCTGGTGGTCACCTGGGCACACGCTGGCTCAATTGTTCCAGAAGCAGCAGAAAGGGGCACGAAGGGGGAGCATTCATCCACTACCGAGAGCCCTGCCACGGGAAGGGGAAGCAACAAAGACACCAGACCCCAAAGGAGTAAATTTTTGTGATTTTTCCATTTCCAGTTTGGTTTCTATTCCGCGGGTTAACACTTGGAGTTGTTATTTCACTGACCGCTGTTACCTGGCTTTGCAGCTGTAATGCCAGCGCTTTCTGCTCTTCAATTTGCCGCCACCTCTCCCGAGCTCGTGAATCGTAGACGCTGGTCCTGAAAAAGCAGAGTTTATGAGAACAAATCGGGGTTTTGTTTCTACACGGGAACACTCAGGTCAGGAAAACACAGCGGAAAAAGTGGGACTTACAGTTCTTTGATCCACAGCTCTGCCTGGAAGAATGGGAGGCTAAAAAGGGGGAGAGAAAGGACAGGTGTAAGTGCTTTCCCTCATGTGAAAAATAAACAATCACCTGCAAAGTGGTTTGTAAGAATTATCTGAGGACAGCCCTTCTACTAGAACGAGAGGAAGAGCCGCAGGCAGACCTGCCAGCGAGCTGTAGCCAAGTCTCACGAGGTTTGATCGAGTTCCTGCAACTACAGCAAACTTCGTGAGACCTTCAGAAAGCCACTGGCCACCTTCTGCTCTGCATTTTCCTCTCTCGGGGGAATTAAAGCAGCTCCTGGAACCCACCCCTTCCTCCAGGCACCATCCTACAGCTTCTTACCTTGGTGCTGGTGTTCTGGAATCCTTGACCTTGAGCAAAATGACAGAGTCGGACCCTAAGGAGAGGAGAGGTTTCGGAATGTTGGTGCCCTCACAATCATTACCGACTTCCCCAGCTGCTGCAGGGTCCAAACGCAGAGAGGGAGGGAAAAAGCAGAAGCTGAGAGTTGTGGTCAATGGCTGAATGGCCGGAGACCAGTAACAAGCGGCTTTCCTCAGGGATCAGTACTGGGACCGGTGCTGTTTAACGTCTTTGTCGGCAACACGACAGTGGGATCGAGGGCACCCTCAGCAAGTTTGCTGACACCGAGCTGTGGGTGCGGTGACACGCTGGAGTGAAGTGATGGCCTTGGGGCACATGGACAGGCTGGAGAGGTGGGACCATGCCAACCTCATGGGGTTCAACACGGCCAAGGGCAAGGTCCTGCTC